TCCCATCCAATCAGCTCCAACCCCACTGGCAGTTAAAAGGAAGAAACAGCTGCGATCACACACCACTCTTAGGAGCACGAAGCTGAAGACACCAGCCTGAAGATGACGAATGTGACTTCGTCGAAACGTCGCCAAGGTACTTTTAATTCTACGCGGGAGAAAACCCGAATAACTAAAGACCTACATATATATATATATACACACATATAAATAAATAAATAAATAAATAAATAAATGACTTACACTTCATAAAGACTGGTGAAAAATGTAATTGGCCAAAGAATGACAAACTTACTTCCTGTACAATTGGAGATGAAAAGGACCTCAGATTGTACTTTGTAGGTGGATACAGACTTTCATAGACTATTAATCTAATCAATTTTTTAAAAAAATCAGTAAAACTAATAGAAACTTTTTGGTCAATGAAGTAGAAGAAATACTGGGAGAAATGTCTCGATATTAAGGAAAAATAAAGTACAGGGAAAGTAAAATTTAGTGTACCTCAAATTTCAAGAAAAATATTAATTATAATTATTTAATAAATAAAAAAATATTTTAGAATGACAGGTTGGATTGCATGGCATGACTAGCTAACAGAAAATGCAGCTCAAGATGAGTAAGAACAAGTATAAAAATTGCAACAATTCCAGTAAGAAGAAAATAGATGAAATATATTAACAGAATAATGGAATAACAGAATTGGAAAGGACCTTGGAGGTCTTCTAATCCAACACCTTGTTCAAGCAGGAGACCCTACACCAGAGGTCACCAATCTTTTCACGCTGGTGGCCCAAAGGAAAAGGGAGCAACTATAAAATTTGTGTGTGCAGGCACGTGCGCGCAAACAGGACCACACGTGAAAGGGGCCACGTGTACCCACATGATGCTAGCAGCCCTATTTGCTAGGTGCTGCTGCTAGCTCCGTGTGCAAGCACGAATGGACCGCACAACCCGCACGGCACTAGCAGCCCTGTTTGCGTATGCGCATGTACATGTGCTAGCCACTGCCTCTGCTCGCGTCGCGTGCATCCCCAAACATGCGCATACTGACTAGCCTGTCCCACGGGCCAGTGACCATGGCCCTACACCATTAAAGTTTGCAGAAAAAGATCAGTAAATATCTGAAAACAAAAATGGTATATATAGGAGATGGAAGGATGAAGAGATCAAAATATATAATTGGAAATTGGACTAACATGGTAAATGGTATCAGAAAAACTAAGCAGAAAATGAATTGAGGGTGGCAAAAGATATGAGGAATTTCTTCAGGTGCAATAAAGCCTCGATTCCATTCAGTTTACTATGAACACTATGAAAATTTCTGTTTGGATATCACCTCCAAATAACTGACAAACTCTATTACTTCTTAAGCAGTCTGGACAATTTGTATAATTTAATCACTTCTGTCAATTTAAAATATTTAATTTATTAAATAAATTGAAACATGGAATATAAAACATCAATTATATAATTACAAAGCTGATATAAATTACAAATGATGTAATTTATATTTAATGGATATTTGGAGTTAACAAATATCATTTTCTCTAAATGGCTTGTAAATTGACTTCTTGTTTGCTTAAAATAAAAGAGGAGGAAACCAATGAATGTATTATTACCTGCTCAATAAACCAATTAATTCAGAAAAGGCAGAAATGCTCATCCGTCATTTTGGCTCAATGTTCTGCAACAAGAGTATTGTTCCAACAAACAATTGTGAAGAGCAAATGAAGGAGCAGAACTGAAGTGTGGTCTTGATAAAAAGGTGTTCCAGGAAAGCTTATTTGTTTCTGTATGGATATTCAGAACAGAACATTTTCATCCCAAGATACTAAAATAACTATTGATTGTCTGACAAACTGTTATGTATTATCTTTGAAGAATTCTGGATAATGGGTGAAATAAAAAATGAATGAACGGAGAATACATGCCATCCCCACTTTAAAAAAGTGGGCTGGGGAGAGAAAATGCAGGTGACTACAGACTAATCAATCTGATATAAATAACTTGGAAGATTTTAGAGCAGATCATGAAGAAACTAATATGATGGTAAATTTTAAACGATGTGGTGATTATCCAAAATCAGTACATTTTCCTCAAGATCAAACATATTCTTCTATTAAATATATTACCAATCAAAAATATGGTAACATAAGCAATGATGTTATTGCACTTCTGATGTGAAGGATGAAGCTATAATTGTTTTAGAGGGGGCAATTCTAGCATAGTGGAATCCAGTAACTCCAGCCTGAGTGGAACAGATCAAGCAACACTTAAGACCCCCACCACACTCACTGATAAGACTCTGAGATTCACTCACTAAGTAGGAGATAAAACAACAAAAGCAGATGGGCAGAGCAATATACCTCAATTGGGCATCTAGATAGCTCAGTATAGATTATTTATTGGGCTCACCCCCTTAAAAGGACAATTTTTCAAGTCTCAGCTCTGCCGTGTTTGCCTTCTTGCTTTCCAGTTCCACCTCATTTTGTCTCTCATCTTTTTCTTGGATTTATCTTTTGTTTCTAGATTTCTAGTTTATCAAACCTTAAATATGTAACAGCTGTTGTGTGCTATGGCTATAAACGGGACTCTTTGCTTCTAAAAGTTCTGCCTGATTTGGACTGTGGCACATATCATAGCACTATGACTTCCACAAATTCATCCAGCTGTTTTTGAAGCCATGTAAGCTAGTAGTCAGCATCAACTTCATAAGATTGTGAAAGCTTTTTTTTTTTATTAAGACATATATCTTTATTAAAACGTATGTCTCGCTTTCAGCAAAGCATGTGTTAACATATCCCATGGCATTCTGATTAGCATACTAAGTTGAGCCTTGATAGCAAAACAAGTGGCTTCTTAGAGCGTATTTATCAATACTCTTGCAACTAACCAAGCCTACTGAATAGGGAAAGATACATTTCAGTTCCGAATCCTATATTTTTCAACATTTCTATTAATGACAAGCATTCTCTTACCTCTTTATTAAATTGCATGACACTAAACTGCGTGAGACATGTAGTTTGATTAGTATCTTAATGACAGAAATAAAATACAAAACGTACTTCTCAAAAAGTTTAGCATAAGATATTCACGTAACTACTCCTCACCGTTGGAATTATATCCAGATTTCCAAAGTCCAACCCTGAACGCTTTCCCGAGACGATACATATTTATACAAACGGTTAGTGGAAACACAATGTAATTTTAATATCGCAAGGCTAATACATACACTAATGTCTAAGAAATGGTGAGATAGAGGACTACAACCACAATTACAAAGATTTAACCAAATCCCGAACATATCAGTGCAAAGAAACGAGAAACAGGAAAAAAGCGTTTATAAAACGCCTGCCCATTTCACACTACATCACCGGGAAACTTCCTTCCCGTCCCATCAGACCCTTCGTGGAGAATGGTGACGTGTCTTGGAGCGCCTTTCACGCAAGAAGCGCCATTGTAATCTGCGTGTTGCTGCTTGGGTATCGTAGTTTCCCCCCAATAAACTCTATTGGCGTCTTAGGCGAATGAGACTACACTTCCCAGCATGACCCGCACCACGCGAGGGTTTTTTTAAAATTCTTTAGCAGAAACTAAGGTACAGTCAGCAAACCGGTAAATGATACCGGAAGCCGGGTAGCGGAGTAGCATCCGGTCCTTGTAGGACGCGCCAGGGCAAAATCGTTAGACATGGCCGGGGAAATGACGGTGTTGGGTAAGTATCTGTTAATCGGGGAGCTTTTATCTAGTTACTTCTAGTACATCGTTCCTTTCGGTGAATATATTGATTTTCTCCCTTCCGTCCTAGGGAAACAGCCGAAGTATGGTATTTGAATTGAAATCTACTGTTCAGGATCGTAATGTGCCAAACAAACTGGCTCTGCTACCATTAATCATGGTAGCTGATTAGAAATTGCAGTGGTAGTAGACACAAGTAGCATTCAGGGGACAGCGGAATGATCACCATCATGTTCTGCTTTTGAACTCAGAAGGAAATGGAAGATCAAGTTGGGAAAATGGGGACTTGTGTTCTGAGGCTTAAACTAAAATAAATGCAGTGAGACGTTTCAAAATGTATTATTTGCGGGTTTTTCTCTGCATTTATCTTGGCGGGAATCGATAAAGCCACAGGAAAAAAGAACATTTGTTAATCTGGGATTAGAGGAAGCAAAAAAACCTTACGTTCCCCTCCTCCCCCCCCCCGGATGTAATGTTTAGGAATTTGTGTGTGCGTCCTAACCAGGCAGAGACAAACCTTATTCGATAAATTGTAAGAATGTTTAACTCGTATGGCTAAATATGTAAAGCCATTTCTAAAATCCCTAGCATAGTTTCAAAATGTTTGTTTTCAAATGCGTACTTTCTAATGATAGAAATCCGGTGTATAGTTCAGGGAGCATATTGTGAAATTCTCATTATAAATGCTAAAGAAATTTATAGCTTTCCAAACAAAAAGTGCTGTACTTTGGATAAAGGAGAAAAGAGGTTAATAATGCTAAAATGCAATAATACATTTACAAGACTCTGCCGTTGTATTAAGAAACGGATGATACATTTGTTTGGAATGAATTAGTTGATTTTAATCACTCTTTCCCCACCCACCCCATCGTCTCTTTTTTTTTTTTTTTTAGGTTCTGCTATTTTGACCCTTTTACTAGCTGGATATCTAGCCCAACAGTATTTACCTATGCCCACGCCAAAAGTAATAGGGATTGACCTTGGTACTACATACTGTTCAGTTGGAGTGTTCCTTCCTGGTAAAGGACAAGTGAAAGTGATTCCAGATGAAAATGGACACAATAGCATTCCAAGCATAGTGTCATTTACTGAGAATGATGTGCATATGGGATATGATGCACTAGAACTAGCAGATGCAAATCCACAGAATACTGTGTATGATGCCAAGAGATTTATAGGAAAGATCTTCACCACAAAGGAACTTTTAAATGAAAGCAGCAGATATCCATTTAAGGTAAAGTTAACTACTTGCCTATCAATGATTTTAAATAATCACTTTCTTTCCTGTTGGGGAAAAACTGGAATGCTTCAGATCTTATGAAATGTTCATGCCCAGCTGCTTTATTGAAATATGTTACTGTTATGAAACTTAATTTTTTGGTGGCTTCTTCAATTATCAATTGTATTGAATATGTGTATTTAATATGGATTATATTGTATGCATTCTGTTTGTCCCTGGCTGTAAATAATGGAAGATCAGTTCAGACACTTGTTTACAATTAAGTGTCCGTAGCATATTCTGTCAGGTAGTTCCCAAACAAAATGAATGCTATTTATAAAGTGCAGAGGTAGGTTTGCTTACAAGGAATAAGTCTTGTAGTCTTAATCATATTCATTTTCTTGTAAGTTTGGGTTTGTTTTCCTTGGCAACTTTTGGCAAGGTTCCACTCATCATTAAATTAAGATTTGTTTACTCCAGATGCACAAAGCCCTCCTAACCAGCTCCTTATTTGTTTTTCCTTCCTTTTCTCTGCCAGTGTCCAGCTAATAACTCAGGTATCCTAACATAAGGGATGATTTTACTTTTGAGTTTGTAATTGCGTTGTCCATACTTTTATGTTTAAAAGCATATGGGGAAGAGTTTTTATTTGTGTGTGAGTATTTTTCAGAGGAAAATAGATTGTGTATGTGTGACAGTTTAATTATTTTTAATGAAATGTGCTGCTCTTCTGTGTTCTGTGGGTTTTTTTGTTTTTATTATTTTGAGAGAGGAGTTAGGATATTTTCCTGTGTTAACTGTGAAGTTCTTGGTTTGTGGTAGGCAGTTTATTTAATAGGTTATGTGTTTTTCTTATGTATTTCTTACAATATACCACAATTTTCCACTTACAAAATGTGCATTTTCTTATCCTTCTTTGGAGGCAATTATGTAGTTTGACATTTTCAGTTGAATTTCTCACTTATATCTTCTGCTCACATTTGTGTGAAAAAATCTGATAACAAGGAGAATGAGGATCCTGGAATGTGCATGTGAAAATCCCCCTTTTCTAAGCTGCTCTTGACTTTTGCTCTGCAGAATTGTAAGAAAGAGGCATTAATACAAGAAAGATACAAATGATAAATAAAATAGAACATCATATTTAGATTTAGATTTGGTGTATACAATTGTATGCAAAAATTTAGGCACTCTGTTCAGAATAATCCCTAAGAAAATAGAGATGGTTTGATGTAGTGGTTAAGGCACCTGGCTATAAACTAAGAGACCATGAATTTTAATCAAGCCTTAGACACAAGGCCAGCTGGGAGACCTTAGACCAATCCTAGAAGCAAGGCAATGGCAAACTGCTTCCTAAAATTTTGCCAAATACTGCAGGGACTAGTCAAGGCAGTCACCATGAGTTCAGACTGATTCAGAGGCACCCAGATACATATAAAAAAAGAAGCGGACACAAATTCTACATAGTACAAAGTATTTCTGCAAATTTGAACATGTTTCTATTAATATGCCATTGTTTAAGATTTTAATGTATATAGCAAGTGCAGATATTTAGAGAAACTTTCAGTTAATACTTTTAACAGTAAAGGAGAAATTTGTAGCTCAGGGTTGAAATGAGGGGTCCTTGGTGTTCTCTATTTTCTTGCAGATGTTTCTAGGTAACATCATCAGTGCATATCAGGTATCATAATGATATTACCTAGTTTGGGTAATGAAATGTCTGCAAGAAAATAACCAAGTGCAGAGAGCACCAAGGATCCTTCACTTTTAGAAGAAATAACAACTACAAAAATTTTCTTATAGACAATTAAGAGGCTCTTTATTCTTACTTATTTCTGCAATGGTCGTAAGTGTGAGAAACGGTCACAAGTCAGTTTTTTCAGCGCCGTTGTAACTTTGAACAGTCACTAAACAAATAGCTGTAAGTTGAGGATTATCTGTAAAGTATTGCCTAATTGTCTGCACTTGTCCAAATCATTGTTTTCTTATTTTGAGCCTGTAAGCAACTGGTCATAAATAGTATTGATTCAAATTTACAGAAGTTGTGTTTATACCCAGCAAGCAAAGGTTGTGTTAATTTCATTTTACTTGGGAATTGGTTGAAACATACAGTTTGATCAAGAGTAGCTGAACTTTGGAGAACATATATAATGTAAACAAGTGCTGAACATTGTATTAACCTAATTAATTTTTGCCAGAAATAAACCATGGTTTGTTTTCCACATACTGTAGCTGAAACCAGTTACAGTTAAATAAAATAAATACTGTACAGCTTAATATGTAAACTGGGCCTATATTAGATAATATGTTTCTTTTTTTGCTCCTTTTCTCTCTCTCAGATTCTTAACAACAAAGGAACTGCTGAATTTTCTGTTGTAACCAATGATACTATTAGGGTAACACCGGAGTACATTAGTTCTCGGCTTCTTTTGAAATTGAAAAGGATGTCAGAGGAGTTTCTCGGAATGCCTGTTTCCAAAGCAGTTATTTCAGTGCCAGCAGAGTTTGATGAAAGACAGCGCAACTACACAATTAAGGCAGCTCGCCTTGCAGGTGATGCACATATTTTTCACACTTTCCTTAAACTCAGTTTTCAAAGGGTCCTAAACTGGAGCAGCAATGAAACCATAGGTTTTATTTGCGGAATTTGAAGCCACAATGAAATCCCTGAGTGATTAAAATAAATCACTGTAAATACAAAGTAGAATCATCTCTATTTTAAATACATATTACTTTGTTGAAAGAGTTCCAAAAGTAGACATATATTAAGTTTTCACTTAAATTACCATAGTATTATATTTGACATAAAAAGTGTACAGTATACAGTTGTTTATGCTTGAACATATATTCTGTTGACTCTGAAGTGTGTTTGAAAATGAAATATCTTTTTATCTTTGTAGGACTGGACATTTTGCGGGTAATTAATGAGCCTACTGCTGCAGCATTGGCATATGGCCTTCACAAGGCTGATGTATCCAATGTTCTGGTAGTAGATCTGGGTGGAGGAACCTTGGATGTCTCCCTGCTAAATAAACAAGGAGGGATGTTCCTGACTCGAGCGATGGCAGGTAAATAAATGCTTTTATTAATTGTTTTAAATTATCACTTACTACTGTCTATATTACAATTCGTGACTGAATAATGACTGAACACAGAGATCATGCTTCTTCCATCCAGTGTTTCTTGTCATAATATGAAAAAAGACATAAAACAAATGGAAACATTGCATTAATCATGTCAGCTATTTATTTGTTTTATGTATTGTGTGAATCCAGTTTCTCTGGTGTTTTGAACCATGATTTAGCAAGATATGTAAATTTAACTACAGAAATTCTGTCAGTGGTATTACAGTTACCATGATTTATTCATGCAAATAAGGTAACATTTATAGTTAAATACACATGATTATAGCTTAAATCATATATCTTTTTTATATGTATTTGCAGTTTGCCAGTGCACCGTATTAAATATGGACTGCTAGCTGTAATTGATGGCCTATTACAGGTTCAATTAAACAGGTTTTTTCAGACTAGGTTAGAAAGAATAATTTTGTTAAGCCCATGACAGATGTAACCATGGGCTTAACAAAATTATTCTATCTTACTGAGACATCTTACTCTTCCCCAAGTGTTTAATGCTATTCAAGCTATATCAATTGCCCTATCAGTTATCTGATATATGTAGATTTTGTCTTTTAGGGAACAACAAACTTGGAGGGCAGGACTTCAATCAACGGTTGATGCAATTCCTCTATAATGAACTCCATCACACATATGGCTCTCTGCCCTCTAGAAAAGAAGAAATACATCGTCTCAGGCAGGCTGTAGAATCTGTCAAATTAAATTTGACAGTTCACACTTCTTCAACAATCCAAATTTCTCTTACCATGCCAGAGAAGAAAGACCAGCATGAAAATTTGCAAAAGGATAACAAACATGAAAATAATTCTTCAGAAACTGAAATGAAAGAGCACAGGAAAGATAGCTTTTCAAAATCTCTTGATGACACATGGAAAACAATTAGCTTTGAAACAGAAATTTCCCGAAAACTCTTTGAGACATTAAATGATGACCTTTTTGAGAAAATCCTTGTGCCCATTGCACAGGTACTGAAAGAAGGACATCTACACAAGGCAGAAGTAGATGAGATTGTATTAGTTGGAGGTTCCACCCGAATTCCAAAAATACGTAAAATTATTACAGAATTCTTTGGAAAGAAACCCAACACCTCTGTTGATCCAGACCTAGCTGTTGTAACAGGGGTGGCAATCCAAGCAGGAATTGTTGGGGGATCTTGGCCTCTTCAAGTTAGTGCTGTGGAAATCCCAAACAGGCATTTACGGAAGAGAAATTTCAATTGAACTTCAGTGTTCTTGCATTAATATTTTTAATAATATAAACAAAGCAGGATTCTATTTGTTCAACTAAATTCTATTGGCATGATGCTGGACTTTCAGTGTACATTAGTTCCTCCCCATCATTGAAGAGATTCAGAAACTGGATTTAAAAAATATTTCATTTCTCCTTGAGTTAGCAGAACAGTGAGCTCATTATTTAACGAAAGCCAATGATCAGAAGCTTCATTCCTGAAACTTTATTTTATTGTCCTGCTTTAATAATGAACAGAACCTCAAGACTTCATTACTTGAATAAGGAACAAAATAATTTGAAGTAATGATGACAATAGTGTTGGTATTGTATCCTGATATTTCTCAGGAGTTTGTATTGATTGGGCTTGGCCTGACATGGAGCAGTATTAATATATATCAGTGAAGTTCCTCTTAAATGGCATTTAAACGCACTTTTCTTAACATTGTGTTCAAGCCTGACTATGGTTTAAGTACTGTCAATTCTGTGTCTGTGTTCATTAACACCATAAACTTTGGGGAGCTGCCACTCTTAATATCTAATAAGAGGCAATCATTGTACACAATGACTTCCTATATAGAAGTGGGCACTAGTTAACCATTGCTGATTATATGACAGAATGACCCCTTTTGATATAATACAAAACTATTGAGTAGTGTTATAAAATGAACCTTGGGTTCATATGCTCCCCTTTTCTCCAGCAAGGCCATGAGGAGATTGAAGGTAATTGCTTCCGTTTTCAATTTATTGCAGTTTAGTGTTATGCCTTACCCCTAAATTATGGTTAATCTTAAATATGGCATACTGAAACATGCCTTCTTCATAACCACTGTTTGAGATTGGCTTGCTCCAATAATTCACAATTCAAGCTGACCATAGTTAGTTTATGGTTTAGCAACATATGGATGTCCCGTGGATTCATACAAAACTTACAAGTCTACGTGGAAAAGTAGTGTTATATCACAATGAAATAAATATATGAATTTTCCCTAATAGTCAATTCAGTTTCAGGTGAGTTAAAATTATACCTGTGCAAAATACTTTAAACTGGAGACAAATTATTTTGACTCTGTATGAGTGTTCTAATACTGTTCCAACCGTACTGAAAGTTTGACCTCAAAGCAGCCTATTTTTAGCCTTTAAAATATGGTGAGGTTTAGAATTTACACTATGGTTAAAATGTTATCAGAACACTTCTGGAAAATTGAAAAAATTGTTTCAAATTTTAAATGGGACATTTAAAGCTGGAGATGTTTTGAATTTGGAACATTTTTCATATCACTGCATAATAATAATAATGATAAACATAAACTCTGTCCACATGTGAAGGTTTAACTGCTAGTCCAATGCAGGGTGAAGCTTTTTAACCATTCCATAGAATATCTTTTGAAGGACCAAATTTAGCCCATGCTGTTACAGAAAATAGCGAAGACAAAAAAAAATTGTTGACAACACTCCATTCTTTTCAATAAAATGTGGGTATTTTCAGGCTGCTGATGTCATAAATATTGAAGTATATTTTTTGTTTTTATGTCCAGATGCATAATTAAAAAACATGGAACTATTTTCAAATACTTAAATGTCAAAAAATAAATCACAAGAAACATTGCATTGTAAATGTGACTGAAGCGGTTTATAAATTCATAAATAAAAAAATATGAAATATTTTTTGTATTCCTCTACCTTATTAAATAAGTGTGATTTTATCTGATGCGTAGCCTAAACAATTTTTCTGATCGTAATGGTCAGTAAATGTAACTGAGGAAGTTATTTTTTACATTTATAATTGCCTTCAATCGAACGACTTTCAATTGGCAGCATTTGAGTACTTTGAATAGCAAAGTTTGTTACAGTTCAGTGCTGGTGATGATCACAAGAAGTAATTTTTTGATTCTTGGAAAAAAAAATACGGAGTAGTCTTCAAGGATAATCGGGATCTATCCTGTCTGGATAAAGATATTTTGGGAACTTCTAGTCTTTATGTAGGTATTGCCAATTATATTAATATCAACAAGACCAGCAAATGAGAGATTAGACAACCATTTGTCTGAAATGGTATAGGGTTTCCTGCTTGAGCAGGGGGTTGGACTAGAAGACCTCTAAGGTCCCTTCCAACTCTCTTATTCTGTTCTGTTCTAAATATTTTACCAGTACTGGTGGTTTGGGGGTTTGGTTTTAGGGTGCTTTAAACTTGTCATCAATTTTTTATTTGGTAAAACAAATTCCTTTTCAAATGGAATAGTCCTTCAAAGGCAGTTTGTGATTCTTGAGTTTCAAGTTTATGAGTATCATCAGTTTCATAAAAATATTCATGATTCAAAAGTACCTTCCAGAATGTGCAATATTTAGCATATTAAGTCAGTTATTTCAGAGGGAATTTAAGAGCTGAGCAACAGGAAGGAAATCCAAATTAAACAAGCTGTGTTTGACATTCTTTGAGAGTATTGGAGAAAATTGTAACTCCTTGGAGTGGAGATTTAAACACTATCAATAGTAAATTGCTTCCCCCTCCCCCCCCACAACAAGAAGAGAATATGTACTATCCTTTCATAATCTTGTCAACACAAGACCACATCCTGTTATTTCTAAACCAGTAGCAATGCTTCCATATATTACTATGGTCAGGATAACACTTTTTACTAAAAAAAAACAAATAACAATTGCCAAGGCAGCATGTTGATCCTTTTTAAAAATTTGAATGTGTGCTAAGAATAGTAACTAATGATTGTATGGAGGAAAATAAACTACAAAATAAATATTACAAAAGTGTATGAAATTTAGTTATTAAAATATACTTAAAAGAATAAATATACCTGAAGTTAAGCTAAAATTTTTGCCTTATAATAACAATATTATTAAGTCATATTAAGGAGAAAAACCCCTGAAATTTTTTTTAGCAAATAGGTATAAATTTTTTCTGGTTTGCCTAATTTAGAATTGCATCTGTGCAATTTGATAGAAATAGCATTGGGGAGCTGCCACTCTTAATCTATATAAATAAAAATGTAAATGTTCGTTTGTTCAAAATTGACTAATATGTATCTTGCTATCTTTTGTGCTATTATATTTCCTTCTGGATTGTGACACACAAAATGAATGGCTGGATTGCAGACTAATGAGAAACAATTTTTCGGCATGGCAAATTATGCCTTTTTATAAGAGAGACTGCATTTATAAAATGGTGTTTTTATAGTATTTATGGCATTTTGTCTTTCAGAGACATGTACCTTGGGAAAAGAACAGGAACCAATCTGGGTAACAAAGTATAATGTTGATTTTACAGAAGGTGTTTTAAATCCTCTAATGTTTATATATTACTTGCTACTTCTTTGGTTATTGAATAAAGGAATTATTTAGCATAGTTTTTTTCTGAAAGAGCTTTTGGCATGGTGTTATTGTTGATACTTGTCTTTGCTCAAGTCTGTCTTAAGGGAGCTGAAGTTGATTTCACCTTGGAATATTCACTGGTCTTGGAAGCATGCCTATAATGCACTTCAGCAGGAGTGGCTTAATGTTCAGGTGACAAAATGAACAAAAACCAGATGAGCCAGCTTGGGGGGAAAAAATCAGACGACTCCCAAGTAGTTTCTCATCTTAAATAGCAGAATAATTACGCTTTTATATTTAATTGGAACTTAATTAGCTAATTTCAAGGTAGCTAAGATGCCATTCAGTTATCTCTAGGTCAATTTCAGAGACTGGGATGTAAAAGAATTGGCGTTTAGAAAGAATAATTATTATATGAGACACCTATCTATTCTTTCTGAGGACAAGCGTAATTGGATTGTTTATAAGACATACATAAGAGTCAACAGGTCTGTGAGGAAATACATTGAATTTCTTGCTACTTAGAATCGTATATGTTAAATGGCAATATATTTCCTTTCTGTCTAGTTGGAAAGAGCTGCCTAGCAAACATCCAGATACAGCTTGATTTAGATCAGGGGTCTTCAAACTTGGTCCTTTTATGACTTGTGGACTTCAACTCCCAGAATTCCTCAGCCAGGCACGCTGGCTGAAGAATTCTGAGAGTTGAAGTCCACAAGTCATAAAAGGGCCAAGTTTGAAGACCCTGATTTAGATGATGCAGTGGGTTAAGCTGTCTTTAATGGGAGGCAGGACATAGATAGAATGGAGCTCTGGGATGACGCGTGCATTGTCCCTGCCTGCGTTTCACTGGCAGAGGCCTTCAGGAAAGGCCTCTGCAGCCCAGAATGGAGCTCTGGGATATATTCAACTAGGCCGGGGACAATATGTGTATATATATGTTGAGGTTTTTTTCTTTTAATGCACTTTATGTCTTGTTTGTTTTGTATTTTTTATTTGTTCTTTTTGTTTTTAAATTTTTTGGAGTTTTGTATTTTAACTTTTTTTCAAATTAAAAAAATGTTAAAAAAAGAAGACATTTGTTTATTTATTAAATTTATTTGCTGCCCATGTCACCATGGGGCAGCTTACACTCTGGGTAGCTTAGAACAGTAAAAATATAAAATTATTAAAAATGTAAATAAAATCAAATAATGAAATAATAAAAGTACAGCAATATGATGATGGGCAGGATGAGGCTGGGTATACATATGAATTACCCTTTAAATCACAACCACTGATTATGTAAAGATATTAAATATCTGTTGAGAACTATTTGTATGAATGCAAAGAAACAGAAAGAAACCCTCTTCTCTGATGAGTTTCCAGAGATGTTTTCATGAACTTTAGAAGAAAGCAAAATATAATTCACAAATATGCACTGTTGATATTTATATTGCTTTAGATTTGCTTTACAACATATATAGTCCATGCCTGATATGTTTCAAAGAAATATAAAGCAAATCAGCAATCTTCCAATCTTGTTTTAGTACTTTTTTCTATTTAAATGACTCATCAATTTAGCATTGACAATGACAACTTATGAATCTTATTATACCACAAAAATTGACTTTTAATCACAAACTTTATGCATTACATTGTGAATAGTATAACAATTCATTATTTTAACTATGTTTGTAATTCAGAAATTTTTCTGCTTACAGTTTGAAAGACATACTTTCTTTCAAGTAAAATGAAATGTTTTTCAAGAAACTTTATTTAATTTTCATGACTTTTTCAAAGAACATAATTAGATTCCATTTGTGGGTCATACATACATACATACATACATGTTTGGCATATCCTTTTATTTAATAATACATTTATTTATAAAGAAATACAATCCTATAGTCATTTAATAACTTATCCGTTTACATTTTTACTCATTTTTTCCTACATTTTTTTCTACTATTTTCATTGCTACCATCGTCCCTAACTTCCAGAGTTCTTTTACGTTTGGGAGTATTTTTTGTAATAAGATATTGACTGTGGGTTTTTGCTTCTGAGTAGACACTTTCAAAAGAATCTTGCCCAGTATTCATGTAGGATGACACTGGAATACTTGGAAATTGTGAAGATGTCATCTGTGGGTAAAGAAATGGCTGTTCCACTGGAATGTATGGAACATACTGTTGTGTCAAACATGTCATCTAGAAAAAAGAAGAAAATTTTAAAACATTTGAAAACAAGTCATCTCTACCTTCATTGTGTTATGAAAAAAGGCCATGGGTTGCTTAAAAATCATTTCAAATTATAAACTTGATAATGACATGATGACATACAAATGATTTTTAAAATGGTAACATGCAATATCTTCAAAAATTAAGCATGATGAGACATACTTGCAAACTGTAAATAGAATAAGCTATTTGTGCATCTCTTCATTTTTGTTTACATCATTGATGTAAAATTATAAATTGAAAGTTGCATGGGGGTCTGACATGTTATTAGTTATTTATATGATTCACAGAGCTATCGATTTCACAACAATGGTCATCATAACAGTGCAACTCCACAGAGCTCATTTAACTGCCTAGCTCAAAAGTCTGGAGTAGCCACCTAGTCTTCAGAAACACTAATGAGGTCAAGACCACAGGGCAGATGCAGACACAAAGAACACATAATTCAGGGTAAAAGACCCAGAGTGTGCCCTCTTCCCTAGACTGGGTGGGATAAGCAGAAATAATGGGGAACAGGTGGTCTTGAAAGTAGCCTGGTCCTATGCCATGTAGTAATTTATAGGTGGTAATCAGGACCTTGAATTTGATTTGAAAGCTTACTGGAAATCAGCACAGCTCAGTACACTGATATTGAGAGATGACAAAAACTACCTTGCCCCACTGCCTTCTAAATCAGCTGTAGCTTCCAAATACTCTACCACATTCCATATTATTTCATGTAATTGCCAGGAGACATCTCTCTAAAACAAGGCAAAGCATGATAATAATAATAAAACTACATACAACGAGCACTGCTGAAGGATCCAGTCAATTTCACCTTTTATATCTATAGTATATATAGATAAAATGGGTAATGAGGCCAACTGCTAATTTTAAAGTACATTTCATCTGAAAGTTGGTAATAAAACTAGATAATAAAAAAGTGCAGCCAGAAGCTGAAAAGCCACTATAACTTGGCTTTCTTAATAATTGTTTCTTGCCTATATAATGAAGGAATTGGCATACACATGACATATTATTGGCATAGTTTTACTATCATTATGCTAAACTTACCATGCTCTGAATGGCAGAATAAATCTGATGTGGATTATTATTCACTTGACAAGGACTAACAGGTAATGGAGTATCACAATAAGATTCTGCATACCTATTAAAAACAAGGGTAGTCTCAAAAAGTCATTTATCTATTAACAACATACAGAGAATCTATTTCAATTCTTTACCAATAGACTCCTATATACTCAGCAGAAACTCTGACTCAGCGTAATGTGATTTAACCCTAGATAAATAAGTATGAAACAGCAGCAAACAGCTAAATGTGCAAATATTGGAATTCTAATTTTGCTGTAAGTTATACAGTTAAATTAACTGTAAGCCATGCAGAGTCATTGATTGAGATGGGCGGTTATAGAAATTGAATAAATAAATAAAAATAAATCCTAAGCCTATAGTCCAATACATATATGCTCATAAAAACTACATCTCCATAGCATTGGATACAGTTTATGATTTTACAAATACTTTGAAAGTGGTGTATAGTGATAAGTGCAGCTTCTGAGCCATATAGTGGTCTACAAGATCTTGATGCTTTAATCAAGATGATCAAAGTAGTATTACACTGTTGCACTACAAGGTTTCTGATGTGCAGTGTCATGAAAGCACCTGGGCTTGTGCTATGATGAGGGTGGTTTTTTTCTTCCCCCAGTTTCTGTCCTCACCCATATCCCACAATGGAGACAACTGAATGTACATTACCTGTAGGTTGATGCCTGTACCTCACCATCCATATTCTGGGAAGGGCTGCTTAACTCTAGACAGTGAGTACTTCCTATAAAGGAAACACTAAATACTTTAGGATTAAAAACATCACTGCATTTGTATACATATGTCTAAAATGCATAGAACCAAATCCCACAATTATATCAAAATTAATTATTAATTTGTTTTCATGCTCACTATAAGAATATAAGCAATCCAAAATATATACATTTTCACAACTGCTGTAACTACATTTAAATTGCAACCTTTTAATTAAAAATGTTTATTGGTGGGTAGGGTAGGGATACTCAATGATTATGGGAAAACTATGCCTCTGAATATTTTTTTTTTAAATCACAATTTCTCAAATCAACATTCCACATCTAAGACACTGTTGGAAATTTATAATATAAGTTCAATGCAGTTTGTCCTTCAGTGGTCATATATCCTGGAAGAAAACAGAAGATCCTTATATGAATCAAAACACTTCTCTATATTCTAGCCAAGGTAAATCTTACTTGTATCTTGCCTTTATAGCTTTACAAATAATTGAAGCTGCCAAACATATCCAACACATCTTCCTCTCCCGATTTTCCCCACAATAACCCTGGGAGGTGGCTTGAACAAAAGAGAGTGTCACCCAGTGGCTTTCATGGGTAAGGTGGGACTTGAACTCACAAATTCCTAATTTCTAGCTTGGTGCCTTAACCACTAAACCAAACTGGCTCATTATTGATGCATTTCAGCCTGCATGTATAAGTGACACTGACTCTTCATTAGAAAAAAATAAGTAAAATTTAAAAAAATTAAGCACAATGTGCATGTGGGAGCATAATGCTTCTTTGTGGAAAAACAATTTAATGTGAGTTATAAATAGGAAAAAGTGAATATTTTGGTTTATCTTTAAGGGATTACTGAAGTGTAATTTTAGGATGATTTCTGAACATTGCTATTGTCTGATCTTCTAAAGAAGAAAAGCAATTGGGGCAGCTTTGGACAAAAGCTGTATGGGGTAACAATTCTTCTTTAAGATTAGGAGAAAAGCAATCTGACAAACCCACCCAATTAAGAATGTACCAAAGCACTGATTTAGAAATAAGGGTCAATAATTTATTATTACAGAAATAAAAATGCATCTAATATCAAATCACTCTTTTTACTCTAGTAAAAGTTAAATTTCTTGCTACTTTCTTGAAAGAAAATGACTATTAAAAAGGCCAGAAATATAGTATATCTGCTTTATTTTTTTAAATAAATAAACATTTAAAAATGTTAATTCAGTAAATGGACCCAAGGACAGAAAAATATACTTTGTCATAGCAGAATTTTGTTTGACACTTTTATTTCATGGGTCAGCATTTTAATGACATTTACATTCCAGAGATCTCTGAAATATTATTGGCAGGTAGCTAAACCTACCGAACCGATATTGAACTTTAATTGGTCTTCCATATAAACGAATCCCATTCAGCAAAGCCATAGCATAAGGCACTGACTCTGTGTGTTTAAAGCAGACAAATCCAAAACTCTTGGGGTTTCCATCTTTGTCCTTGCATACAGTGACTTTGGATACCGGTCCAGCCTGCAAGAAACTTAAAATTTATTTTCTTATAATTCCCTTATACAAAACAAAATTGTTACTTACTCATTCAAAATCTTGATGGACCCTATTCTACCAATGTTTCCATTTTTCCTTTGTGCAGAGGGGCAGTGCATTGTAATTGTCCTTGTATGTTCACAGCTTACTTACATATCTCTTGTTTTATTCTGTTATGGGCATAATTTACATGGACCTGATGAAGTATCAAAGCAGTTAAAGAATTTTTAAAAATGCACAACAGGAAACGCTCTGCTATTCAAACAAAAGCAAACATATACTGTCATCAAATATAAGACATAACCAAAATAAATCCAAAGTAATTATAGATTTACTAATATATATTTTCCATGTTGGATTGGCAATCAATAGAAAGTTTCAACATTCTGACAATCTTGTAAGTTTAAATTTCATAAACAAATAAATTGATTGTCCAGTAATAATTATTTTAATAATCTAATTAACATATTTCCATCAGATACAAATGCTGTATCTAATACATAGAATGAAAATCCATTTCTCATTCTCCAGTAGAATGAGAAATGATGGCAACAAGCATTGCGGAGAGAACAACTTAGACTGACAAATAGTGTTGATGCATTTAGAGTTGAGCAAGATTTAATCGTTATTTTGTATTGCTAAAAATATTTCCAATGATATATTCTTATAAGTAAATGCTTATGAGAGCATTTACTGCTATGCCCTGGCATGTCTTTCATGGTATTTACCAGTCTGTTTTTAGGAAATTCTTAGGAAATTGCAGAAACAATTGAAAACGTAAACTGGTATGATGTATGAAGAAGGAAGAACATTTATCTGGAATCAACTGTACACATATAGAATACATTATTCCTTCTGTTGTTGTTAAACTAAATTTTCCATTTTCTTGGAAACTTAAATTTAACACTAGGTAAGTATCGTGGGCCCAACTGGCAAAAGAAAGGTCAGGACCATATTGGTTGGAAACATGGGGAAGAGGCCATCATCCTGCAGTGGATAGACAATGGCTAAAATGATGATGATGATGAAATCTTATGGACATAAATTAACTAAAACTAAAACTTATTCAGAGAGTAACTTCTGAGCAGTCAAAAGCTAAAGGCATATGAAGTGCCTGCTTTGTAGAATTAATTCCAAATCTGATTCTCACTGATATTACAATGAAAGTAAAATAGCTTGTGACTGGAAAAAAGAGAAAAAAATAATATTTTATAGTAGTTGGTGCTGACAAAATGCTCAATTTTATGCTCAGTGTTACAGCTATATTTTTTTTCATATTTTATATGCAGAAAGAAAAAAAGTAAAACATTACAAGAATGTGCAACTTTAATGTTCAACTGTAAATAAAGGGATACAATTAAATTATTATTTCAATTTAAATGAGGCCTATCGAAATACTGCATCTCATTTAATCATAGAGATAAATACTCAGTTATTTTCAGCCAAAGTTAAATGATTGCCTTTAGGCATGATCAACAATTTGTTTACCTTCAGTTAAATTTATTTATCTTCCAATGTTGTACTTTTTAAAGTCAACAAAGTTATTTCAAAAAACTTAGTAACTGCTAAAGAGATAATTAAGATTTAGACCAGACAATAAAAAACCCACTATTTATCAATTAATGTTATTATGAATCATTCAAATTTATTCACCAGAACTGTGTTGATTAATAAGTAGAACTGAGTGTGCTACAACATCTGGGAAATAAAGATCAACAAATATAAATCTCACTAGTTTAGCTAATAGCACATGTGAAATAAATAGCACATGCTAAATCAATAAAGGTGAGAATAATATCTTAAATTTAAGATTTTTTTTAAAAAAATAAAATTTTGAACACAGTCAACATTTCCAAGCAAGATTCAGCTTGTTTAATCCCCACTCTTAGGAGAGAATTTAAAAAAAAACAAAAAAACCCCACATTTCCACTCTTGTATTGCCTACTGATGATGAACTTCTTCAAAGATAGGAAGTAGACTATCAAATATTCTGAGCCTTTTTCTTTTAAACATGTAGATTCTCCCTGTTTATAAAAAAATAAATAAATAATCTGCTAGAGCAAGCTACATACACAGGTAGGGCTTTAAAATACAAATAACCCAATTTAAAATTGTTTTTCTTCACCCAACAATACAATATAAAAGAGTATTGGGTACATTCAGTCAAGAATAAATATTTAAGTTGTCAGAAAAACTACAATGTGGGAAAATGAACACTTTTATACTGTACCTACGGTATTTAAGAAACGTTTTATCAAATTAAATTGCAGAAAAAAGAATAAAATTTAAATGATGTTCCAGTCTGATTAATATACCCAATTTCAATTTCAATCATTTACAGTGTAATTGAACTCACAACTTCTTCACTGCTCAGTATTTCTTATTTGCACTTTACTACTGAAGTTCTTAATATTTCTATATTTATAAGAAAACAATGTCAAGTTAAGTAGCCAAATTAAATAAGAAAGGACCACAGAGGACATTAAATGTTCAAGGCAAGAAAGATATATTTCTGGTAACAGCAAAGACTGACACATAAGCCAATTAAAGGAACTCAAATAAAATGCATAAAGCTAAACAAACCATTACAGCAATCAAAAGTAATATCCTCCCCCTCTCTCCATTTAATTCTGAATATATTGTTAATGATGGAATAATTTACAGGGAACAAATTATGAGTAAATATGAGTGGTTATAAACTCATATTCTTCCTAACAGGCTATTATATATGCCAGAGTATTGGATTTAAGGCTGGAGAGCATATCAGATTACCTGATAATAATAAGTCAAGTCCTTTCAGTTTTACTTGATTTTCCAAATAATTCTGTTGCTAGGAATTACCTGACATTCTGTATTTTAAGATTAATTTTTATGTCGTGTGCATTAATTTCTATCCCTTTTTATATGTTATTGCAAATTGTCTTTTTTCTATTTAAAAATACTGAAATTGCTGTCTGGATGCAACATTTTCCATACTCATAAGAAAACCAAGCTCCTTCCAAAAACGTTTCACTTGTCTAATATGCTATTATTTAATAAGCCAAAGTCCTACAAATCTACTAGTACTTATTATGGCTTTTTGTTTGTTTCTTAATTTAATGCCCTACCCTACATAACTTGTCTTGATTGGAAGTCATCATATTTAGCATAAAATGGGTAGATAAAATAAACATGGATTTGAAGCATATCCAAGAAAAAAAAATTAAAAAGTTTTTTTTCCAGTACTGTATTTCACAAATGGAGCATAAAATAAACAATTATAGATTTCACTTGCGCGGCGACCCAATCAACTACTGCAAAAGATATGCCTCGGTATCTTCTGACAACATTCAGCTGCAGTAAAAACAGAGCCCTGTGACATTTTCAAGCTTACTAACTGTACAGTGACATAAGTTTTTGTGCAATTATTTATGCCGTACGGTTTTTTTAAAAAAAAAGTATTTTGCTATTAAATTAAAAGGGGGGAGGAGGGGTATCGTGAGAAGGCATCTTCCCGCCCCAACATCCCGTCGCATGGGCAGTCCCGGAAATTCCCTCCCTTGCCACCACCGCAACACGAACACGTGCTTCCCGGCCTCAGCGGCATTGCTGGCCACGCCCACCACCTCCAACCCGACACACCCACCTCCCACAGGACCCGCCTCACCCGCTCTTGCACCTGCAAGAAAAGCTCGTAGAGAATCTCCTCCTTCACGCGACTCTCCAGATTGCCCACGAAAAGGGTCCGGTCGGGCTCGTCCGCCCTATTTTGGGTTGTCATGCTCATGAAGATCAGCCTCGGCTGCCGAGAGTTCTGGTTTTGGGCAGGGAAGCCGGCGAAAGGGGAGGGGCCCCGGCGAGAGCGCACGAGGCCGTAAAGCGCAGGGGTCGCGCGACTGTACGGTAAAAAGCTTTCAGACTACTTACTGCGCTTTGCGGCAGTTGCCGGCGCGATACACCTTACTTGTGGGAGGGCGGAAGAATAGTGATTACAATCACTTTCTCAGACGATAAGAAGGAAGTGTGTCTGTGTGTGCATCTTTTTCACATGGAAAAGGCACATTTGCACACAGACACACACACAGACACACACACACTTGAAGGGTAGACTGTAGCAGCAGAGCCGATGTTGCTATTCTTCGGTATCCTAGCAACCCTCTTAACTCGGAATGGCATGGATTTCTCTCTCTCTCTCTCTCTCTCTGTGTGTGTGTGTGTGTAGATGGAAAATGGTGCATTCCCAAATATGGGCTGCCATCATGTGGCAAATCTTGATAAGGCAGTGTATCTACTGTCCACGTTTTACTTTTTTTTTTACATTTTATTTATTATTAGATTTGCATGCAAACTCCAGTACTTTGGCCACCTAATGAGAAGGAAGGACTCACTGGAGAAGAGCCTAATGCTAGGAAAGATTGAGGGTGATAGAAGAAGGGGACGACAGAGAATGAGGTGGCTGGATGGAGTCACTGAAGCAGTAAGCATGAGCTTAAATGGACTCCAGAAGATGGTAGAGGACAGGAAGGCCTAGAGGAACGTTGTCCATGGGGTTGCGATGGGTCGGACACGACTTCGCAACTAACAACAACATGCAGCGTTATTTTGAACAAGGCAGTGTGCGTAATGTTTGCACATCTTTTCCCGATAAATTAACTCCGCTACCTAGAACACTCTGGGTTGTTATATATTAGCAGGATAATTTTTTAATATTTGGACAAGTAATTTAAGAGAAATTTACTCTTCTTAGTTCAGATCAGTTTCATAATTGTTACTTGGATAATATGATGCTACATTGTTATTAAATATTTATTCTGCCTTTTTTTGTATAATTCAAGGTGGCAAATATATCCAAAACTCTGCTTCCTATTTTCCACACAATAACTGCAAGATGATTTGGGTAGAGAGGGAGTGACTGGCGTTAACATTTTCTGAAACATAAGCAGATCTACTTATTCTAGCAGTAGGTGGACATACATAGAAGAATAGAATAAAGCTGCAGTATTCCAGGTGTGGTCTTACTAGGGTTTTATAATACTTTGTGTGATCCTGATTCTATGCCTCTGTTTATACAGCCCAGGCCTGTATTAGCTTTTTTGGTTGCTGCCGCACACTGCTGGCTCATAGTCAAGTGATCGTCCAGTAGGACTCCAAGGTCCCTCTCACAGTTACTGTTTTTAAGCCAGGTCTCACCCAATCTGTATTTGTACTCATGGTTTTTCCTGCCTAAATGTAAGACTTTGCTTTTCTCCACATTGAAACTCATTTTGTTGGATAGGGCCCATTATTCAAGTTTGTCAAGATCTTTTTGGATCCTGAGTTGTCTTCTGGGGTGTTGGCTTCTCCTGCCAGTTTGGTGTCATCTGCAAATTTGATGAGTTCCCCTTGGTTCCCTCATCTAAGTCATTTATGAAGATATTGAAGAGTACTGGGCCTAAGATGGAACCTTGTGGTACCCCACTGCTTACTTCTCTCCATGTGGATGTAGTGCCATTGAGAACTACTCATTGAGTACAGTTTGTTAGCCAGCTACAGATCCATCTGGTGGTGATGTTGTCTAGAAGCTTTTTCTTGCCAAGGTGATCTTATGTAAAGCTTTGTAATAAAGAGTTTTACTTATTTCATGGCTAATTAACCTGATTTTACCAGTATCCTTTCTGTTAGGTGGCAATATTCTAATAACTAGATCCCAAAACAAACACTTGGACTAAAATTTTAAAAGTTCTGAAATTTATTAATTTTGAATAACGGAATGGATAAAAAATTTAAATTAAATTTCTACAGCTGTCAAAAGTTTATTTTCAAATCTGAAATATTTGAATATGAAGTAGCTAGTTTAATAGAAGATTATTTGTTTTGTAAGAAGGCCATCTGTATTAATTTATATTATGTCTCAGAGTAAGCATTATTTGAGATGTGTGCAAACCGTAGCTGAAGGGAGAGTCCAGCAACTGGGCCTTTGAAAGAATACTCTATATTAATTGGTGGTTGGGTTACAATTTCTGCAGCTGCCTTAGATTTAGAATGCTTCTTGGCTGATGGCCCAGTCAGCCTGCCATTTAATAAAGGAACAATATGAAACCTGATGAAGCTTATCAAGCCTTTCCTAAGTGTCCAATGTTTTTTTTAAAAAGATTAAAAATACTGTGTTTGCAATGGAAAGTCACTAGCTTGACAGAAAATCATCCCAAAGATATTCAGATACAGATAAATTGTCTCTTCCTTGCCTAACCATTCCTCAGTCTTGGTTGAGACAAAATTTGTTTTCTTATGTTATTACTTAACATAAATTATTTGATGGAATGTGTTAGTTGAAAACAAATACTTAGTTGATTTTAAAATTTCTAAGGATTAATCTGCCTGGAATTTGACTTTGGGTTTTCTTTTCCATTTGCTAATATAGGACAAGGTGTGATAATGTTAAGCACTTTTACCAAAATATACTGTTCATTTGAAGCTACTAAAAGAGCAAAAAAGTCTGCATCCTAAAATTGACTCACTCTCTCTCTCTCTCTCTCTCTCTCTCTCTCTCACACACACACACACACACACACACACACACACACACACACACATGTTACAAAGGAGAGTTACAATCAGTGCTGTATTACACATTAAAAAGGCAAACAAATGAACATAATCTAAAATTTTGCCTTTTACTGAAGATATTTGTAAAATCAATAGATACTTGTCAGTTGTTTTGATGAGCCTTGGAAGACATCTGATCCACACTGATACAATAGTTACATCTAGCAAGGAAACTTCTGTTTCCTGCCATATCAGCCTAATGTCAGGATAAATGATATATAATAGCACATGTTCAACATATATAGAATGTGTTTGTTTGATTAACATTCACATTCATCTATGTATAACAGTTTTCCCTTGTTTAAATAACCAATTACCAAATGTATCAGAGTTTGACACTGCTCAGACTGATCTCACAACAGATGACTCATCGTTTTACAGCAGAGAGGGTGACTTCTGATACTAATCTCAGCCAGTACACTAGGCCTAGCCATGCAACTTTCACAGAATGAGCAAAACTGCACTCCTCCCTCCTGTCATATCAATAAAAGCATTACAGGTACAGTATCAGCAACTGCTATAACTGAAACTACCAAATTGTTTCCTGTGAAGTTAGTGTCAATATTGCTCTTTTCTTCCAAGAAGAGGATTGATGTCAACATCTATCTTTCCCCATTCCTTATTCTCCAGAAAAATTAGCATTCCACTGCCTGGTTTTGCTGATAAATGCTTCTCTTCTGACAGGATAGTATTTCCTCTTTGGTGACATACATTGATGATACCGTATACTTTGCTGATGCACCTTCTGAATTCTTTGTGTATTTAGCAATTTTCTTTTGATTAGTTCTCTATTTCAGTCTATAGCATTTAAGCATACTGTGGCTGTCCTTCCAAGTATAATTATTCTGAGAATTACACATTTCAATTTAGAAACATACCTTTTGATTTTTCTCTATTTTTCTGGAAAACTGGATTACTGCTTTCTTTTGACAAATTCTAAGGATTTTTGAAAAGCATTCTACCAGTCCTCATAATTGACAAATATATGATGTAGAAATCATATAAGAATCATATAGATTCAGTGAGATAATATAAAAATAAATACATTTAATAGAATCATTAGATTTCAATGAAATAACATAAAGAAAATGCAAAATAAAACAATGATACTCAAAACAGGAAGATGAAAAAATAAAGTACAAAGATTTATTGTATTGCTGTGAATAGTAAGAGGGGAAAGCAACTATAGGCCATAATGATTTGTTTCAGCATTCTTAGCTTTAGTACCTATGTCATGTTAATTGGAATACCTAAAAGCTTATAGTAAGTTTATATTATTGATTGTAAGACATAAATAGTATTAAAGGTGAAAATCACAAGCTTTCTTGGAAAATACAGAACCATTGTATTTTTTCAAGGAAAAAAGGCTATCTTGCCAAACTGCTGATGCTACAAATATCTATGCATCATCTTGTATATTTTTGTAAATGGAAATTATTATATCTTCCTGCACTCTTTATATGCCACAAAATATTACCTGTTCATAGCAGATCAAGTACTGTAAAAACGTCTGTATAAAATCTGGTTTTGAGAATCTGGAGGAAAGAACTTTTTGTGATTTAAAAGATATACAACCCCTGAGGAAAAGAAACAGCCTCACCTATTTAAACTGGGAGGAGGAGCTGTAGATTGCAAAAACTCTAAGACTGGACTTTAATCTGCCAAGTACCTCCTACAGTGTACCACACCTATTTTATCAGTGACGTTTAATTTAAGCAAAAACCAACATGTTACAAGGAAATAGCAATACTGTCCTTCTGTTACTTGCTGCTTTCCGAACACTGCCAATGTTGGGGTTGTGTTTCTTCATTTGTTTTGCAGCATACTATGCAAGAGCAGGTAAGAAAGCCATTGGAATGTTACCTCTGAACGTTTTAGCCTAAACGTGAGATACTCAAATTTTAAGAAGTAATGAATAATTATCTTAAATACAAGTATGAAAGTTGAATAAAAGAAACACTCCTGAATAGAGTTAAAAAAGATTTTTAATGTAGAACAATTCAAGATATTTGAATTTCTATATAAAGATTTATTGCTAGATTAATTCTATGTGGTCTCATTATTTCATTTCATCATTTCAGTATAATACAATAGGTTTTCAGTATTAAATCAGGAGCATGGAGAAGGTGTTACATTTTCTGATATCTTGCGTTAAAAGCTTGGAAAGTTGTTCACTAGATTCACATAATATACTAAACCAGGTCATTGGTTTGGAGTTAACATGTTGAGCATTGTGTCATATACTTGTGAGTACTGCTGCCACTATTCATTAATTTGAACAGACATCCTACCCCAAGATAAGGACAGTTATGTGAGCGTAACTATCTTTTTGATTTGTAAACCATAATTTACTGCTTATTTTTCTTAACCTAGTCAATTATGGCTTATTCATTAAACTATGTTACATGTAAATCAAGTCACTATTAGAGGAGATATGAAAATTCATTTGTTTATATGATTCGAAAGACTTATAATTAAGAATTTAGTCAAAACTAGATTACACTTTTTACGACCCTGTAGTCCCTACTCAGGGTAGAGTATGGCTTGATTCACAGAATTAACTGAAAAGCAATGTGAAATTTTGTACTGATGTTGATTTATATTTAAATTAGTGCCTACTTTATATCCAAATGTAGTCTTTAATTACCAGGATGCCTTGCATGCATGTTTAGCCTCAAGCTATTATCTTATCTGAACAGAATGGCAAGGGGAAAGGCTGAAGTAAAAGTAAAAATGATCTTTGGCTTTAAACACCTGACCCCTTCTGCTATAAACACTAACATAGTTTAAATATATAAAAGTTAGTTTTCTACAGCAGTACTGTGTTACAGAGTTAATTAGTCAAAATAGCAGTGTAACAAACCAACAATCAGCCATGCTTTAATGCTGATTATGCATGGATCCCTGAAGCTATGTGAATTTTGGAGTGGGTGTTGGGAAAAGTAACTCAAACAAATTCTTTGTTTTCCTTTGTGGTTTGTTTGCTGTTAAGCTATATGGATCTAATTTAGTTTTCATAGCCAAAGGAATGAGAGAGTTAGCAAAAAGAGGAGATATTGGAAGAGCGCTAAAGAAAAAAGCTGCATTATAGAATGCTTGTCTAGATGATCTGGAACTAGAGTTGAAAATGGTGGAAGATGAGATCAGTGTTTGCCTGTTAAAAGGCCAGCAGGTTCTCAATTAATTTTTCATCCTGAGAGTTCTGAGAATCAGTCAATGGCAAAAGCTCTTGTTTTCTTAAACTTATAGTATTAAATAAGATAATTACTAATTAAAATGTAATTAGGCCCTGCAGGTCATACACACATGTTACCCATACATTCTTACCACATTTTACAAAAACCTTGCTTAGTACTTTTACATTAGATTGTTGGATTATTAGTTGAGAAATGGGAAACTGCTAAAGGATAACAAACAATTGACAAAGTTGTAGCTGGTGAAACATATCTGCTCTGACAAGGCTTGGTTTATATCCAAACTGCTTATTTTTGTTGTTTCTGAATAAAATAAGAAAAAATCTGGAAATTGATTTTTAATCTGTTCCCATGTTTTAACTCATATTTGTATGTCCCCAATAACAGACAGTAAGTGTGAACCTAATTATAGCTATGGAACAGAAAAAAAGAAATAAAAAGATTTTGAAATATTTTGTAAAATATGACCAGTTCAATGTTTAGTAAAGTTCTGCCTAAGATTCAGATGTGCTTCAGATTTCAAGAGGGCACATCACCTTTCTATTGCATTACTAATTAAAGCAGCCATGTTTTCCACGAGAGAAATTAAACCAGTTCCTAAAGCAGCTACATCTTTTTTCAAGTTTGCTCAGACACCTGAAAAAGATGTTTTAGACCAAAGGTCCCCAAACTTTTGAGCACCAGGGACCGGTTCTGTGGAGAGAGGTTTTTTCTGTGGATCGGAGGGGGCATGGTTTCATGTACTGCCTGCATCCTGCGGATGGAGCTTTGCTTGTTGTGCGGACCGGTTTCTGGCATGCCACAGCCCGGTACCGGTCCATGGACCGGGGGTTGAGTACCCCTGTTTTAGACAACAACAAAGAGGTGCTCACTTGTGATAGTCTTGGTTGCCTTGGAACTTTTTCAATGATGCTTTTGAAGTTATTGTATTGTTTTAATACTGGGGGAAACAGTTGTATTTACAACACCTTGTGTCATTCTGCAACTGTTCGTGCTTTTTGATTTGAAAAAGCCCTCTTTTTCTCATGGGATAAGTGTAGAAAGCTAGGGGGACTGCAGACTACAAGAGCTATTATTGTACTACCAAAGACAGAACATTACAAAACAATCTTTACTATTAACGGTGGAGATGCAAGACTCTGCATGTCACCAGTAGCAATTTCACAAGGTTTCCTTCTTTAGAAAAATAAAAAAACCAAACATACCAAATAAATATTCAGTTAAATGCTATAGAAGATTAGGTTAATTGACAATTGATAAATCTCAGATGCTTCTTGGCAGTTTATTCAGTCATCATGCCAAAGATTTGAACATTTCTGTTGAACATTTTATTTTTTTTAAAGAGTTATACCTGTTTATTCTTGCATGTGTTTCCCATGCTAGTTAATGAGAGGGCTGAACTTTCAAATCATGTTCTGGAATCAAGAACAAATCAGAGTTGCTTTCACCCAGGGCAAGCAGAATAAATTACATGTTTTCAAAATCCAGGATCTATTCCTCAAAGCATGTTAAACTGTTTATTTAAGAGCCCTAATTTGTAGCAATTATGTTGTTAATAACAATGTTATTCTCTAGTCTAGTATTTTATGTTTTTGAAATTTATATTATTTTTTTTAAAAAAAAGGATAAACAAAGAATAATTGGATGAACTCAGCCCAATTATGTCAGATTTATCTCTTTTCAGCATAAAATTTGTACTTCTTCAATTTGGTCTTATATAAACCAGGAATTCTGATCTGCAATTATTTGAGGTTCCATAGATGTCTTGTAGAAAAATGAAATGCAATATGAACTTTAAAAATAACATTAATCAAATGTTTCTTTTATTTATATTTTACAAATTTAGGTGAAGAATGTCCTAAATTCACAGATCTTAATTTTGGCAATGCTGTGATTGGCACAGATCTGAAGATGCAACTGCTTTTGTATACAAGAAGAAATAAAGACTGTGCTGAGCATCTTGATGAACATAATATAACAACTTCTATACATTTTAATGTAACCAAGAATATTGTTTTTATCATCCATGGGTATAGATTTACAGGTTCTCCCCCAATATGGATTGATAGAATTAAAAATCTTCTGCTTGAAAAACAAGACTTCAACATCATTATAGTAGATTGGAATCGGGGTGCAACAACAGTGAATTATTTTAGTGCTGTTGCTAGTGCGAAGAAAGTGGTACCCTGCTTAACACATCTTATTGATCAAATGTTGGTAAGAAAGATACATAATACTGATATCAGAGAAACATTCATCTACTTGCCCAGTTAAATCTATGAATATCCTGTATATTCATTGTTGTTTCTTGTAAAAACAGAGAGCTCTGCGCTATAATGGGGGATCATTATCTATGTTATATACAATGCATTTGTATTCTTGTGGAAAATGCATGAGCATTTATTCAGATTATTATAACCAATGTTTATACAACTACAGTATAACGCATGTTTGGTTTAGTGGTTAAGGTACTAGACTAGAAACTAGAACAGTGGTTCTCAACCTGTGGGTCGGGACCCCATTTGGGGTTGATCGACCATTTCATGGGGGTCGCCAAGCAAGGCTGTCCGTCATTTTTTTTGTCCGCCATTTTTTTTGTCTGCCATTTTTTTCCCCTTTTCCGGTGGGTGCCGGTCTTGGGCTGGGCCAGCAGGTGGTCAGCCTGCTCCGTCTCTGCCGCTTGCCAGCTACTCCTCGGCCGGCACAGGGGGCGGAACCACGCATGCGCGGCGCTCCCGGGCAGGAAAAGTCCTCGACTTACGACCGGTTGGGTAGTCCTCGACTTACGACCGGTTTAGTCCTCGACTTACGACCGGTTTAGTCCTCGATGTACGACCGGTTGGGGTTGCGGCATTAAAAAGGTTGAGAACCACTGAACTAGAAGATTGAGTTTTAGTCCCTCATTAGCCATGAAAGTCAGCTGAGTGACCTCAGGTTCAACTCACCTTACAAGGGCATTGTTCTGGAGACAATAGGAGGAGGAAAGTGTTTTGGATATGTGCACTATCTTGATTTATTTGTAAAAATACTAAAAGTGGGATACAAGTAAATAAATCTGTTCTGTTACATTCGATTTCTAAATGGATGTCCAAACTGTAGATGTGTGATCATTGCAAGAGTAACATATGGACACTCATTATTTTCACTTATTTGTAAATAAAATGTGTTTTAAAATAAAACACATAAAATAAAAATTAGTCTCAATAACTGATTCACCCAAACAGCAAGCATCAGTTATGGCTGCTTTATATTTGTGAAGTTCTGTCATGGAATTTTACTGTGATAGGAAAATAATGTGAATGGACAGAGCATAGCTAAGTGATATTGCAGAGTATTAAAAACTCCTAGCTTTATCTCCATTTATGGCTGGGAAAGTGGAAAACTTCAACCATGAGTAATGTTAAAATGTAACAAGATTCATAAATGATATGTCTGTATATACAGCACTTACTATATATTGTAGTTGTTCTTAGGAATAGTTTAATTTCAGATGGCAGCCCTGCTGGCAATACCATACAAGGCTAACTCCACATTGTCGTATCTGAGTTACTTTGCTGAAATACATAGATACAAATTTGTGTATACTGTTTCATTTCACTATATTAGTAATCAAGCTGTACTTTTCTGAAAGCCTTTTCTCCACTTTACAATACAAATGAACTTATTGTACATACACAATCATTAATCAGGGGATTAGATTACAACAGTAGCATTTCATTTTCTTTTTCCACAAAACAATTCATTTGTGTTTAACTATTGTACAGTGAAATGTGGAGCATCCTTATGCCACTTACAGTACAAACATAGGATATAATCTACAGTATGTGGCACAATCACAAAACCTATCTCAATCTGTTATAGTGTATAAGGGGAAAAAGAAAATTAGGTCATTCTATAACCCTCTTTCCATGCCTTTTCCTCCCCATAGGAGAATGGTGTTTCTGTTGATTCTATTTATATGATTGGTGTAAGCCTTGGGGCTCATATAGCTGGATTTATTGGGAAGGCATACAATGGCAAAATTGGAAGAATTACAGGTGAGACTTACAAACTGAATAAACTTCAAACAGTCCTTCCAGGTAGAATTTTAGAAGCTGGCTAGTTTTAGTAGGTTTGGAGCATGTTTTATAGCACAATTCTGTCATATAAAGTATTGTAATTGGAATCTATTTTCACACTTTTTTACAGATGAAAAACAAAAATAAAGATTCTGCAACTCAGCAGTGTCACCACACATTTCTATAAACAAGAAAGGCACAGGAATGTTGTTTGAGAGATGTATCTCTGCTCTAGTCATTGTTATGCCTGCTAGACAATTTTAGGGCTTTTCACAATGGTGATATATGTGACAAGTTCACAAGCTGAATTTGACTAATGGCTCAGAGAAATAGCCAAGGGAATACTCGATACTTTACTATAGTTTGATTGAGACATCAGTGCATTGGTTTAAATGAAAATATCCTTCAAATTAGTCTGTATCTCACATAAAAATAATGTAATATGAAATCAATGGAGGTAACTTGGACCTAAGTTCTTGATCACTGAACAAACCTTTAATTTCTTCATAACATGATGTCATGTTTTCTAACGTGATGTTTTTATCAGGGTGCACATTGTAGAAACTTTCCATATAAAATTGCAACTTGTCTCTTTCCTTAGTGTCTCCTTGGTACTATCTCCATACGTATACATTAATTACCTTGTTGTCACTACATTTGAGATTTAGACTGTTAGGAAGGGGAGTGCTAATGAGAAGTTTACTTGTTTTCCAAATAATGACTGTTTTGTTGTTAACTTTTGTGTTACTTATAGTAATTACACTTAAACAATGCTTGCACATTTTTCCTATGAGCTCTGCTTTGAATCTACTTTTTAGGTCTTGACCCAGCTGGTCCCTTATTTACCGGAAAGCTGGCTAATGAGAGACTGGATCATACTGATGCCCAGTTTGTGGATGTCATTCATACTGATACTGATGGTAATTATTACATATTTGGATTTTGAGCATTCTGTGATTCCCCCTCACCCCACTTCCATTTCCTGGTATGATCCCACTAGAATCTCTACAGTACATATGTATGAGAGAATAAGTTCCATCCCAGAGTGTATGCAATTATTATAAATGGAATCCAACTAGGTACTTAGGATATGCTGACTTGTGCTTAAATATTTGGCAAAAACATACCCAAAACTTTTTCATTTGTCTCTGAATTACAGATTTTCCTGTTATAGAAAAAGTTTTCTAAACTACAGTACCACATTGGAGCAGCTATTTTTTTTAAACATCAATTCAAAATATGTTTCTTACAGCAGATATAAATTGTTTAAGTTCATTAGAAATGTTAACCGAGCTAAGACCAGTGGGTTTAGTAATAATCCTAAACCTCAATATTTTAATATTTGTTTTAAAAAACCTATTTTTCAGATTCAAAAATATGTTTAAACTCATGATGGTGTTGTGTACAATAAGATATTAAACTTCTTTTAAATATATTAACAACAAAGGAAAAATCAATTTAGCATTGGCATTTTGCACATCGCTACAAAAGGAAATTCCCTTTTATATAAGATTATAGCTAAGATATAAAATTATGAATTTGAAAGCAAATTCATAATTTGAGCAAATATTTGAGCAAATATTAGGACATGTAGATTGAGGCTTGTAGATTCCATTTCATCTCCTAATCAAGCTCCTTGAAGAGACCAATCTCTTATTTTATGACTAATTTCTTTGAAAAGTTTAGAGTTCCTGTGATGTAGATTAGTGATAATCACAACTTCCAGTGTTTTGGTAATATGCATTCTTAGCTCTTTGATATCTTAATGCTATTATTTTTCTTTTTCCTAGTTTTAATGCTTTCACAAATATGTGAGAGATTAAGCTCTAATTTTTTGTGGACAGAAGTATTGGTTAAGATGGTATATTTATTTTTTCTTCACTATGTATTTCATTGTTAGGTTTTGGTCTCAAGGATCCTTTGGGAAACATTGATTTCTATCCAAATGGAGGAACAGATCAGCCCGGATGTCCAAAAACAATACTTAGTGGTAAATATAGATAAATTATTATAAAAAGTGAGGGGCTTAATTGTAGTGAAGTCATTTGTTCATTTATGAAGGCAACTATGTTAGTGTACTTTTAAAAAATTATTACAGTTGTGTATAGAATCAAATTTATCCATTCAGTAATTTTTAGTATGCTTTAACTGTTCATTGAATCCTGCTCTTGAGTGCTGTATATTAGCAAGTCTAAATCTAGATTGTTCAGCCTTATAATAGGATTGAAATTTTAAAATGTGAGTAAATTTCCTTTTTTGCCCAGGAAGGACAGAAACCCTTCTGTAGTTAGAACACATGGTGATAGCCTACCATCACTGAGAAATCAATCTGCACAAAATTTCTAGATATTCTTGGTTGGACCTTGCTTGGAAAATGCTGGGAGAGCAAACAATCAACTTGGAAAGGGAAAAGGAGGAATGGGGGACTGAACTACAGAAGACAATTTTCCTGTTTTGAAGTAAAAGGCAAAGAGTCACTCTTTACTCTTGTGTTTTAATAGAAAATCTGTGGTGGATTTTTTGGTAGCTATATGGAAATGTTCTTTTCAGAATGTAATTTAATTTAATGTAATTCCAGTGTAAGCTATAGTTAGGAGTTTCTGGGGAGTCTCCCATTCAAGTATTAACTAGCAACTACTGCTAATTCTGAAATGCTCCTACTGTTCTATTTTGTGAAAAACAGAACATAATTACGTAGTCTTGAGTTTACTTGTTGATTCTTCTAGGATCAGCGTATTTCAAATGTGATCATCAGAGATCTGTTTTTTTGTATATGTCATCCTTACAACATAATTGTGATATAACTGCATATCCTTGTGAATCGTATAAGGATTACAAGAATGGAAAATGTGTGAGCTGTAATTTTAAATCGCTTCCGTGCCCAGTAGTAGGTAAGAGTAATATGTTTCAGACAATATTTTATGGAGAACGTCTTAGATGTCATTATGCAGTATATAGAACATTCTGTTATGTAATGCTTTTTAAATCTGGTACAGTGAAAAATTGTAGGAGTAAAGCTATCCTGTTTCTTTCGCAGAAAGAAAACTGGAGTCAAATGAATATTTTTGTCGGTTTTAAACTATAGAATAAATAATTATAAATATTATATTAAAAATGACTATCGTACCAACGTCACTGCACTGCACAAGATAACTCTCATCTCCAGTTTGTAGTGGAGCCAGTTTGGTCTAATGGTTAAGGCATTAGGCTGGAAAGCAGAAGATTGTGAGTTCAAGTGCTGCCTTAGCCATAAAAGTCAGTTGGGTGACCTTGGGCCAGTCATTCTAGCTGCCTTAGCCATAAAAGTCAGTTGGGTGACCTTGGGCCAGTCATTCTCTCTCAACTCATTTCACAGTTGTTATTTTTGTGGGGAAAATAGGAGGAAGGTGTGCCTTGAGTTATTTGTAAAAATAATAAAGACAGGGTACAAATAAAGAAATAAAATATCTTCCAACAAATCATTAGACTATCTGTGTCTTAAACAGTATTAGCCATTCTTAGATGGAAGTAAAAGATAAGGAGATATCTTAATTTTCAAACTCAACTTTCTGAATCATTTATAAAATATTCCCAACTATTTCTTAGCTACTAACTTCCTTTTAAAAACAGTCATTTAGGAGCAATTACCAAGAAAGGTTTTTCATTAACCATAATTATTATTTTCAGGTTCCACACGTTTATTTTTAGGTTAATATTTTACAACCTGTGATTAAGGGACCACTGATAGTCTATGAATGTAGAAGATCCCTGGACCATGTGATGAGGCAATAACAATAATGCTAATAATGAAGATTCCAAAACATCTTCAAGCTTCAAGCTTTTAAGCGAAAAAAAAAAGTTGTAGTATCTCACAATTTTGACCATTTCAAAGTTTTTTTTTAAAAAAAGTATTGAGTTATTTTGGTGTCTTTTAGACGCCATCATATTCTGTTAGAAGAAAATGTATATGTTCTGTATTTCCTCCATTTCAAGCAAAGTACAATAAAGTTTTATCCACATGTTGCTGATACTGTATCTGAATCAAACGCTGAGTGTCAATTTGGCTATTGTGGAAACTGAATTCTTCATGGTTAATTTTATTAACAATAACACTCCAAAGAAGGGTCAAAATTTTTATTTGTTAAGCTGGAAGACTTGATGAAATCTTAAAATTTATTTCCAAATCTAGAAACCTCCATATTACACCATCATAAAGAGTGAAGGATAGCTTAATAGAGCTGTATATCTCTAACGTTTCCTGTTGGGAATGAATAAAAAAAATATGTAGATGCTGAAATATATCCGAAAAGAAATAAAAATGAAACAGGTGCACTGTTTTTAAATCACCATGCAAATACATTTTTTTTAAAAATTACTATCATTCTGCATTAAAAGAATTAAGTATTAATTCTTAAATAAACAAATAAACATGCTGGTTTTGTATGTTGGTCATATTTTACTTGCAATGTGTATGAGCACTTGAAGTCCTACATGACCATGCTGCATCCAGCATTGTCTTCAGCTATAGCAGGCAGGTTTCCCTCCTGAAGACATTCTGCATCATGTGAATAGAAGCTAGGATTCATTAAAGGCATTTATACTATTTATATATTCTAGATATATTTTACATGAGGAATGGCTGAAGAAACTTACATTATTAAATATTCTGTCACACTGATCAAAGAATGTTTTGGCTCTCTGTTGGTTGTAGAAACGTATGGGAACTTATTGCACCTTGGTCATATTTTACTTGATATTAAATCAGAAATCCTAATATAATAAATCACAGTTGAATGAACAGTTTACTAATACAGATTACTTCTGCTTTTCTCAGGAAAAAAAATAGAAAAATAGATTAGGAATATTAATACTTTAAACTGGCCTAGGACCATAGCTTGTTTGAATGCTGTTATTTCTGTACATTTGTTTAGCTGCTCAAATGAAGAGACAAATCATAAACATGCAAATTATCTATGTGGATTTGACAGTATGCTTGATCTATTTGTAGTTTCGTTACTACCTTCCATGATGTTGTAATATAAACCTGATCAGTCGGTTTGCTTGTGAATGAGTCATTAAAAAAAGCACTCACATTTCCAGATGAATTGCTGTACTACTTTCTTTTCCTAATTCAAACTTCATTTCTTCATAGCTTTTGACTAATTTATGGTATTACGTAGGATCTTTCTAAAACAAGATAAGTGAGATTGTGAGCAGGTTTGTTAGGATCAAACAGACAAAACTGAGTACACTTTCCAATATATATATATATATATGCAGGTCTTGGCATAACAAAAACATACATACATAACATACATACATACATACATACATACATACATACATACATACATACAAAATTTGGATTCCTTTCTCCCATATTTGGGCCGAATATATATATATGAAGTTTTTCAGACAAACCGGTCTGATTGATTACACCTTGACATTTTTAACTGCTATACTGCAGTTTTTACTTTTTACAATATCTTTTGCTATGCAGCCCCCCAACTAGGGGCATTAAGCAGGCTCAAGTCGCAACTGCGAAACATTTTAAATCCAAATTTCTTTTTCTGACAAAGAGTTAATGAATTAAATTGGGAGACTAAGATGGCCATTTCTAGCTTGTTCTGCTTTCATCAGTTAGCCATACCCTTTATGGGATTCGAACCTGGGCAGTTTACATACTAGGCAGTGATTTAACCATCAAGCCACAGGCTCTCCTCCCCTCTTTGTCAGCTGAGTCAAGGGAGTATATACAGGAAGTTTTTCAGACAAACCAGTCTGATTGATTACACCTTGACATTTTTAACTGCTATACTGCAGTTTTTACTTTTTACAATAAATCCAAAAGAAATTTGGATTTAAAATGTTTTGCAGTTGCGACTTGAGCCTGCTTAACGCCCCTAGTTGGGGGGCTGCATGGCAAAAGATATTGTAAAAAGTAAAAACTGCAGTATATATTTGTAACATTTCTAAAATGGAAAAGGTTTAGTTTCTATTTCAGCCGTGCAGTACTAATCAATCACTTGCCCTACCACCAGTTTCTAACTTCTGAAAAGAGTAGAATGTGGCAAATTGATTTATGGCCTAATTGCTTTACCAATCAAAAATCAATTGCCTGCCTGCAATAGCCATGCTTCTGCTGCTATGTCACTGTGCTGTCTGAAGCTATTGCTTAATATAAGATCAGTACTAAATTTGCAAAAGAGTTAATCAAGAGTTTCACTTAAAATCTAGCTGATAACTTCTCATAGCTAACTGAACTTTTGTCTTCAGGGGTCTTTGGGCCCTCTTCCTTCTCTCAGCAACTGTGCTCAGCATAGCAATTTTACATCTTACTATGCAATACTTACTATTGCATAGTGATCTCAGTTGTGATTTGTCTTCAGTGAATCTGAACCATCCAGGAATTTTCATTTCTTTAGCCGATGGAAATTGCACAGTGCTATTTTCCTTACTAGGTTTTTTTTCTTCCTATCTCTGTGCCACCTTTGGCAGTTATTCAGCCCATTCCAATTTTCTCTACCTCTTTTGAGATACTTTCTCTTACTGAAGAAACCTTATATGGTTTATTCCAGATTTTTCCTGTCCTCAGTTTATCAACTACAAGTACAGTTCGAATATCTGCAGGATCACATGTGTGGATGATAGAAAGTGTTTAATGTTTTCATTGTGCCACTGAGTTAAAAAAAGAAAAGAATATGCATTTTAGCCTCAGTAGTAGAAATTGTTGCATGCCACCTTGAATCACTTGTTTTGTGAGATGGGTGGCCATATAAATTGGATAAATAAAAATAAAATATTTTATTTTATGAGGATAGAAATGTAGAACTTAAATACCTTTGTTATATTCTGGGAAAGTTGATTTCACGCAGCATCATAAAATAATATATCTTTAGTAATTTTTTTGCATCTGTTTGTTTATTTTGTATTGAACATATTTCAATTTCAGGATATTATGCTGATAAATGGAAGAGTCATATACTTGAAAAGAATCCTCCCATGACAACAGCTTACTTTGATACTTCAGACGAAGACCCATTTTGCAGTAAGTCATTAGCTATGTTCCATGCATGTACTTCAATTTTTTTTCCTGTTATGGAGAAAAATAGGAGGAAAAAAAACCAAGTGCATTTTACTATCCAGATAACCTGACATTTCCTTGATTACTATTTTATTTATGAAATAGTATAATGCTCAAAAGATATATGTGCTGGGAGAAAAGAATATTAAAAACAGGAAATTATGTGGGCAACCCAGTAAAGGATGACAAATGAGCTGATAAAAATGAGAAAGAGATGGATTTATATTAGATAATAGCAAAATGAATTTCAAGAAAAGAAGTATAATGAAACAGAGATATAACTATTTACTACCATGCATTATAAAAGGTCCACATGAGATCTGTACTAGTATCTCTTACAAATAGGGCTCTGTGTGTTTCTGTGTATGTCTGTGTTAATGTTTTCAACTGATAATCAAATAATTGCATTCAAGGGCTTTGCAAGCTAGACAGAACTTGAAGCAGAGATAATAGTTCAGTATTAGGAAAATCATTAATTCTGGCTGATTCACATAACTAAAAGATGGATCTGCTTTAGAATAATTTATGTAATCCCTTAAGTTAAATACAATAGCATTATATTAATAGAAACATTTCACACTGCAAACCAGACTTCCATATATTATATTGTGCGATATCACAATATAGTCGGTTTTGTGTAATGGTTAAGGCATTAGACTAGGAACTGGGAGACCATAAGTTCTAGTCTT